GCACCCTATATGATCCCTTGAGCCCTCCAATCATGATCCCTGAGCACAGATTCAGGAATAAGTCCTGAGCACCACCATGTGTGGCCCCCAAAACAAGCAAACATAAAACAAACAAAAGAAACAATTATTGCTGAGGCATATTACAGTTATTTTTAATAGGTTTGTATAAAGAGATGATAAGAAGAATGTAGCCAATACATCATTTTGGAACGTCCAAATTTACTTGTTTAACATGAGTATTTAAAATTTCAGTCTGGGGCCACAACAGTAGTACAGTCGGTTGGGCACTAACCTTGCACATGGCTGAATCCAGTTTGATTTCCAGCATCACATATGGTCCCCCAAGCCCTACCAGGAATCAGCCCTGTGCTCAGAGTCAGAGTAAGCCCTAAGAACTGCTGGGTATAGCCCAAAAAAACAAAACAAAACAAAACAATTTTTTTTAAAATTATAAAACTTCAAATTGTTAGTGTTTGGGGATAGCATTAGGATAGAGAAGGGACCACTGTGATAATGATAGTTGGAAATTACCACTCTGGAAAAGAATTGTGTCTTAAAAGTAGGTAAAGGTATATACATGATAACCTCTCAGTACCTGTATTGTGAACCATAATACCCAGAAAGAAAGAGAGAGAGAGTGAAAGGGATAGGGGAAAAGTGCCTGCCATAGATACAGCTAAGGCAGTAGGGGGTTGGGGGCAAGTCAGGAGGGTGGCATGAGAGAAACTGGGGACCTTGGTGGGGGGAAATACACATTGGTGAAGGGATTGGTAGTGGAACATTCTATGATTGAAATCCAATCATGAACAACATTGTAACTGTGTATCTCATGGTGACTCAATTAAAGACTTGCTAGTAATCATAAATACCATAATATATTCAAATAATACTTATGAATATGATATTCTAAGACTTTACCTTGTTCAAGTGAAATGGTAGTAGACTTCCCTTTATTCAGCACACAGTTGTTTACAGTGACCAAAGTCATGTAAGGTCAGTCCTTAAGCTTTCCCTACTAGACTTAGCAGAAATTAAATGAAATACATGAAGCTTAGTATAGGACTTTGCACAAACTGTACTTCAATGCTTGGTAGTCTCCTTTTCTAATCCATGGTAGATTTTCAATGTCCATTCACCACAGTGCTTTTGCAATTAACGATGCTCTGTTAAATATTTTCATACACTTAAATATTTTCATACACTGACATCAAGCTAATTGCCTTATAGCTATCATAGAAGTCTTCAGCATCTTTCCATTTGCTATTTCTTTAGTCCCAATCTTATATATTCTTAGTAAAATCTTGAGAAACTGTAGGTAAACATTCCTATAAAAGACTCACATTTAAGTTATATTAGATAATTTGTATCACATAAGCTTGATTGTGGGCTGGAGCGATAGCACAGCAGGTAGGGCGTTTGCCTTGCATGCAGCCAACATGGCTGACCCGAGTTCAATTCCTCCGCCCCTCTCGGAGAGCCCGGCAAGCTACCGAGAGCATCTCGCCTGCACGGCAAAGCCTGGCAAGCTCCCCGTGACGTATTCGATATGCCAAACACAGTAACAACAAAGTCTCCAATGGAGACGTTTCTGGGCCCGCTCGAGCAAATCTATGAACAACGGGAGGACAGTGACAGTGACAGTGACAAGCTTGATTGTAATTACTGAGTATCACGTCTCTCTCAAATGAAAGAATCCAGAGTTCCGACCTCCGTCGACGATCAAGAATCAGGGACGCTGTCTCGTTTGCCAAGGCGTCAAAAATCAGATGGGCTGGACACGTAATGAGATTTGGAGACAGACGATCGCTGGACTAGAGCCGTTGCTGACTGGATTTCACGGGATGTCAAAAGACCCCGTGGTCGCCCACCTACAAGATGGTCAGACTTCTTTGTCAAGACCCTGAATGATCGGTTTGAGGCTCTTCGTGTTCCTAGAACGAACAGACGCCATTGGGCTACACTAGCATGCAACAGGGACGAATAGAAATGTTACTGGCACCCGCTCGAATAAATCGATGATAAACGGGAAGTCAAGTGATCAAGTGATAAGCTTGATTCAAGGAGAACTTATAGGAGGTCTTTTCCAATTATGTTGTAAATAGATATGTTAAGCATTTATTATCTCTGAGAAAATAAGTCCCTCAAATACTGGAGATGACACGACACACAATCTCAAATTCCAGACTGGTTGCAGGAATTGTAAGTGCAACACACTAACAACAGATGGCAGCACTTGAACACCCATCTTTGCTTTTCACTTCCCTGTAAGTATGTGACTTGAAGAAAAATACAACCCTAACCAATGTGGACAAAAGATAATGTCTTCTGAGACAATACCTCCTGACAATACTTTGGCAAGCACAGGATGTGGCTCTGCCTACACCATGTGGTAATGAGAAAGGACAGCTTGAGATTAAATTATTCTGAGACAGAAAGCTGTGTGTGACTTGGTGTGAACAGAAATGGAGCTGGTTTCTGTAGCCTAAAAATGGGGGATAATCACCAAGAATCAGATGAATTTAAACATATAAATACTTCAGTGCATTTCAGTCAATCCACACAAAAAGTTTTATATGTTAAAATAAAATTAATTTTTTTAGTATAAAACACATAAAGAGTAGTAAAAGAAAATGACTTATATTTCGGGTAACATTTCTTGCATGTTAAGACTGCTCTATGGAATATAACTAGAATGATTTTCTTGAAAAATATTTTTAGACTTTAGCCAACTTACTATAATTTAGCCAACAACTCGTAATTTTTACAAAGAAAGTATAGATTCCCTTATCTTTTTATATGACAGTTATCAGCCAAGAGGTTTGAGAAAAAGATAGATTGAAATTTCATCTCTACCCACTTTCACTTCATTGAGTTTACAGAGATATTTAAATTCTCCAGCTCATATATTAAAAAGGTGACAACCGGGAATGTGGTTTATACCCTGTGTGTAGGAGGCCCTGGGTTCAATTCCCAACACTGCATAAATAACAATAAATAATTAAAACACTTGTAACACCTCACAGAATTTTGTGAGGGTGAAAGAAGTAAACAACACGATGCTTAAAACAGTATACACTCAATACTCACATGCCATTATTATTATCCTGATTCCATAAAAGCAGCACTTCCCAATTTAAAATTTACTTTAAGTTCCTGAAAATGCACTAATAACTATTATATGCAGAGCAAGGAGTGAAAATTTGGTGGCTGTAGTAATGTTCTTGCAAATATTGCATATGAAAATTAATTTGGAAAGGAATGGAGAAAGATGTAAATCTACTTTTTAATGATATGTTGTGTAACCTAACCTGTCTTCAGATGTCCATTCATGCTTAAGCTGAGGACCTCATGATTAATTTTGCTTAACTCTATTTGCTGAAGTCAAAGAACTTTATTAACTGATATTTATCAGTGTGATCTGTAGTTCTGCATTGGTAAGGAGCTCACAATGACTGTGTCAGAACTGATTGCAAGAATATATAATTGGCTGTCAAATATCCTTAGGCAATGGAGGACACACAGTTCCTACCTTCCATCCTTCTCTGTTCTAATCAGATTGTTTTCTCCATCCGTTTCCAAGACCGAACTACTCTCTTAAAGTGGTTGCAAGTAAGTGGGCAGAACTGCAAAGTGCAGTTGCTAAACACTCTCAAGGGTACCGCAAAACTTAAAATTAAGTTGTAGCTATGAGGGCTAGTCATTTCGCCCACAAACTCTGTTTCAGTGCCATGTCTCATTCATTGTTTCTCTCAAAGAAGGCTCTGCATTCAAGACTCCGTGGATACAACCAATTCCTATGTTGCTCATTTAAACTTTCTGAAGTAAGCAATGCCTTTCAAAATGTATGAACTGTGCTGTGTGATAAGGAATCCCTAATGACAAGCACTGAAAGTAAGCACATCAAAATTCAAAAACTTGAAAGCTAAAGAAAAAAAAAAACCACAACAAAAAACCCCCCAACAACAAAAACAAAACACCATTTTTCCTTTTCTTTAAAAAAATTTTTAATTGAATCACCGTGAGATGAGACAGTTATAAAGCTTTCATGTCTGAGTTTCAAAGGATGATCAAACATCCATCCCTCCACCAGTGCACATTTTCCACCACCAATGTCCCCAGTATAAACCCCGCCCCCCCAACCCTCTTCCTGCCTCTATGGCAGACAATTTGCCCCATACTCTTTCTCTACTTTTTTGTTTTTGGGCCGACCCTACAGTGCTCAGAGACTTCTCCCAGCTTAGTGCTTGGGCGTCAGCCCTGGCAGTGCTCAGGGTACCACACGCTCTGCCAGAGATCAACCCAGGCCTCCCCCTATGTGCCTCCTATATTGGGCACATACTCTTGCCCAATTGAGTTGTCCCTCCTGCCCTCGTTAAGGTAAATGTTGAACACTAAGTGAGGCTACAAAGAAAAAGCAAATTGGCACGCCTAATAATGTGACGGTGCAACATTTGAACCGAAGGTCTCCCAGACTTATTCCCACAAAAGGTTCATTCAGCAAAGCTTGATCTGTTGCTGTACTTCAACGTGTGGCAGTAAGCTGGTTCCCCCTGGAATTTAGAGACCGGCATCCTAAAGAGTTAACCAAGAGGGGCCGGAGGGTCCACTCACCCCACCCATCTCATCCTAAACAGGAACAACATGGAAAAGGGAAAACGTGGCCATTGCGCATGCCCACATCACCTTTCTCCAGTCCCTAGGCGTCAGAGGAGGTAACTTTCCCTGTAGAACTCCAGAACGGCTCCCCGCCCACTATGAAGTCAAACGGGCGGAAGCCCTTCCTCCTTGCTACGTGGACACCCCGGTCTTCTACGGTCTTTCCAACTCGGAAGCCAACAGCATGTCCCTGCGTTGCCTAAGGCTCCAGCCAGGAGTTTGCCAGTTATCAATATGGCCGCTGACCGGCTGGCCCCCAGCGGACGCCTCTCATAGGCTAGTGCGGCATCCTAACCCCGCCCATTTCACCCCTCCGGGCCGCGCCCGCCCAGGTCTCTGCCACGCATGCGCAGCGGGGGCGGGCCGCGAGGTGGGATGGCCGTGTCTTCCGTGTGCCAGCGCTGCCGCCTCAGCCGCGCTGCTCCTGCCGCTGGGTTCTTGCATTGCCGGCGTTAGCCGCGCGAGGGGAAAGGAGGGCACCGTCCGAGCGTGCGTGCGCGGGGTCCCCGCAGTTCCAGCAGTTCTTCTCGCGCCTGCTGGGCGGTGCGGGGGGTCAGCAGCAGTCGAGGGAGGCCCTAGACGGCGCCATGTCGGCGGGCGGCCCGTGCCCGGCAGGAGCCGGAGGGGGCCCCGGGGGTGCCTCCTGCGCGGTGGGGGTCTCCCCCGGCGGGGTCTCCATGTTCCGGTGGTTGGAGGTGCTGGAGAAGGAGTTCGACAAGGCCTTTGTCGATGTGGATCTGCTCCTGGGCGAGATCGATCCGGATCAGGCGGACATCACTTACGAGGGGCGGCAGAAGATGACCAGCCTGAGCTCCTGCTTTGCGCAGCTCTGCCACAAAGCCCAGACCGTGTCCCAAATCAACCACAAGCTAGAGGTGAGCGGTGGGCACCGAGGTGGGTGACGTTCAACGCCAGGCAGCCTGGTGTTCATCAGGTCCCATTAAACGCATCCGTGAAACAATCCTAGAAATCTACCCTCTGCGACACCCGGACTTGAAAGGTGACGGGGGAGTGTAGTATCTGTGTTTGCAGGGAAGGGGTGAGGTGAGATTGGAGTCGAAAGGAGGGTGTAGGTCTGCATGTGTGTCTCCGGAGTACCGTCATTCACATTCCTAGTATCTATGAGAAGAGAACTGGCTCATTACACCCGCCTGCTCATACATACTGCATTAGCAAACCAAGACTTGTGCTCGGAGGTGTTCTGTCCTAGGATCAAGTTAAACTGCCTTTTAACATTTGAGTTTTTAGATTGCTTGATATTGACAAACGAGGTTTCTGTAGGTCCTGGACAGATAGCATCTTGATTATGCGGAACTACTTCAGATAAACGTCCATTGTTGCCCAGAGACATGCCATTCCTACTGTATGCATGAACTATTCAGGGGAATTTGATCAACGCTCTTAGGAAAATTTAGTGGGATAGACACGAGCATGTCAATATCATCTTTCGTTTTACATTTTGTTCTTAAAGTACAGTTATTTCCAGAATTAGCCTGCAGGAAAATGACTTCTAACACTGAGATTTTGCTTATGCTATACGGTATTTACCAAAGTCCGGGTCTTTTTGTAGAGAGCATGTGAAGGAAGAGCATTTGCTTTAGTCTCTAATCTTGGTTTAGGGACGGAATGGAGTGGAGGGGTTTGTAAAAAACAAAAACAAAAACACGGCTACCACATTGTCCAGAAAATTAGGTGAGTGTATTACAATTTTTAGAAATCATGATTAATTTTATTACGCAAGGTCATTTGTTTTAACTAGATAAGTAGGAGATGGGTCTTTTTTTGGGTAGATAAAAATGGATCATTGTGGGAAGCTCTTTAAATATTGGCTTTCCAAAGAAATCATTGTTAATCAGTTGTAATAATTGAGTGTTTTGTGTGCATGAAAAACCATTATTAATAGTATTGTAAGCCACACAATCTCAATTAAAAAATAATTGAGTACCCTTTGGATCCTAATCTATATGAATATCAGATTTGTATCATATTGTTGCTTAGTGGTTAGTATTCTTTCTGTCTCCTTCCTACTAGCCATGGAAAAGGTAACGTAATTAGTTTTTAATTCATTATTTTTATGTCTGAGATTTTGTGATTCTTCAAAAGAGCTGTTAATTTCATCCATTCTTTTTGAAAAGATTGGAATGGAAGTACTAATAAAGATGGTCATGCCTAGCTTAAGTTTATGAAAATGTCTTGATTTCTTGATTAATGATAATTTCTAAAAGTTTTTTTAGATAGGTAAATTATGTTTGGCTTTTAGAAAGAGTGCTCTAGCTATGAATCACAGCAAAAGTAGCTTTTCTGCATGCATGGAAGCTTTGATATAATTGATAACTGGAAGTATCTTCCATGATATGTAGCTTTTGAAAGTGAAACAATATCTAACTCATTTTTTATGCAACTTAAGGAAACCTTAAAACTGGTCTTTTGATGCTAGATATAAAATTAATTTTGTAGGCGGGACCATTTTGTCAGTAGGAGGTGCTTAGTTTTTTCATCTTTAAATATTTAACATTAATATGATAAGCTCTATAAATTGTACACCTTTTTTCCCCCAGAAATTATATTAATGTATTCCGACTCCATGTCCTTTCTTAGGTGGTAGTGTTCTCAAAATAAAAATTGCTAATTAGATATGAACATGTTTCTTCAACATGCTTCAACCCTTGATTTAAAAGATTGTAGAAAATGGGGGAGAGACCAATTTTTTATTTCAGTTTGATTTTTCAATTACAGTTAACTTTGCTATCAACAGTAAATTAACCTTTGAACATTAGCAGTTTTTAGGGTTTTCATGGAGTAAGTTGAGAAGAAAGGGCAGTTATCAGGAGTGCCTCTCAGAGTAGATCTGCTATTATCTACAGAATTCCAGAGATCTATATATTCTCATCATTTTTTTTTTAGATTTTAAAGTCTTAGGAAATATTTTCATACTTTCTATTCTTGTTTTGTGTCTTGGTAAATGGATTGGACAAATGTTACTGTTTTAAGGATATGCACACTAAGACAAATATTTAAAGGTATGTAAAGTTTCATGTAACAGATTCATAGCATAAATACTTAAATTCCATTACTAACACATGGGTTATTTAAATTGGTCTTGAGGATTCTTCTAGGTTGACTCTTCTGCTCAGTCATCATATCTTTAGGAAATACAAAACCACATTTGTTATTAATGTAGTAATTAGGAAAACATAAATTTTTTGTAAATAAATCACAGGTTATATAGTGAAATGAAATACAAATGGCAACCACATGATGTTTTCTTGCCATTATATTTGGGAGAGAGGGGTACCTAAAAGGAAATGGGTAGGGACAGTGTATCAGAATATTTTGAGGTGCCATTTTAATCATCACTTTTGTACATTCTAGCTGCTTTAGAATTCATGTTACAAGCTACTTAGTGGTGTCTATGCTAAGGTCACAGGCACTGACTGGAATGGCTATATTAATAGTAGTAATTTAGGCATTTGGAATAGAATAAAGGTTGAGAAACAATATTTTTGAAGAACTACCTTGAAATAATTTTCTGCTTTCTTTAGTTGGCCCCTTCTTTAAGACAATAGCTAAACACACCTACTGTCACATTCTTTAGTAAAATCCTTAAATCTTCCTTGTTTTGTTGCTTCCTTATTACCTTCTTTCATTCCTTTCCTCTCTCTACCTCACAGTGCTTAGGGATCACCAGGACCACATCCTGCAGTGCTTGGTGTTTGAAGGACCATATGGTGTGAAGAATTGAACTCAGGGAGTTGTACATGCATGTGGGCTTCTTCCACAGCTGTCTCCCTGGCCCCTCAATTAATCTCTTTTTAAACGTCATTTGATGTTTTCAGTAATCAGTGGGGAAACTTTTCCGGCATTTCTCAGTTGGAGGCCATATGGCTTCATGAGGACTCACAGGGTATCCCAAAGAGCCACAAGTGAAAAACCACATAAATGAGGGTGAGGGGGATGGGTCATACAAGACTAAGGTGCCAACCTGTTGGATAAGAAGGAAGAGGGGCATGGTTAGAAAAAGATTGAGAAACACTGGTCTAGACTTATGCTACTCATAATCAGTTGCTATGTTTATTTAAAGCAGTGATGCTACTGTGTGGCATTGACCTGGACTTTTGAGTACTTGAATTGATAGTGGAGAGCAAAAACTAACAGAAATTGATGTTATGAATCCATTGGGAAATTTGATGGAATAATTATAGAAATGTAAAATTATAGAAATGTAAAATTGCAACTTTGATCAATATTATGAAAGATGCATTGAGAGTTGAGAGCCAGTTCTGAGAGATTAAGAAAAGCTCCCTTGAAGAAGTGACTCTTTAGTTAAGTTAAAGGCTGAGTGCTGGAGAGATGGTACAGAGCTTAAGATGCCTGCCTTGCATGTAGCTGAGCCCCTCTTCTATCTTAGCACTGCAGGGTTGCTTGGTATTGCTATTATAGTCCTGGAGGCACTCCAGCACGGTGAGGTTTTTGACTCTGGAAGCATCCAGTCACTGCTGGCATCACCCCAGATAATTCCCAGTACCGCTGGGCCTCCATAGCACTTTATGCTCAGGCCCTCGAATTGAGTCACTGGTTCAGTAGCCAAGAATTGTCAGGGGATCCTCCCAGACCTTCTGAGCAGCACTTGGGAGGCCTCAAAAAAAAAAAAAAAAACCAAAAACCCAAACAAACAAAAAGCTTAAATTAAGTAGGCTAAGAGAAATAGAACTCTATGGCATTCAATAGAAAATAGGAATTGGAAGGCACTTGTAGTGGGCAAGTTCATACTACATTTGAAAAGGTGAAAGGAAGTTAGTTTGTGTTATGAGAGCAGAAGTCATGATTGACACCTGTAGTGGGTTGACTAGTGTGCCCTTGAAATTCACTTTCACTCGGAGTGTGACTTTACTTGGAAATAGTGTCTTTGTATATCAAGTTAATATAAGAATGGTGATAAAATTGTAATGGGTGTGAGTAGGCCCTAAATCTAATGTGTGCCCTATAAAGACTTAGGAAAGAAAGCGGATTGGAGTGATGTCTTCAAGAAATGCCAAGAAGAGCCACAAAGATAGATTAAAGGACCAAGAACATATTTTGCATGTAGGAGGCTCGGTTTTGATCCCTGGCTCCTCTTGGGTTCCTATGCACCTCTGGGAACAACCCCTGAGCATTAAATCAGGAGTAGGCACAGAGCACCACTGTGGGTTTTATTTATTTATTTTTTTTCAAAGAGTGAGAGAGAACAAGAGAGAGTGACAGTATAGTGGGTAGGGCACTTGCCTTGCACACAACTGACCCAGATTTGATCCCTAGCAGCACCACATATGGTTCCCGAGCCCTGCCAGGAGTGATCCCTGAGCACAGAACCAGGACTAAGCACTGCCACGTGTGCCACCCCACCCCCAAAATGATTTTTTTTTAAAGGGGTAGGGGATAAGAATAGCATTTTGGCAGCCACTAAGTAGTAGGTAATAGGCATAGGACAGTTTCTTTCACAGTGTCTCCCAACACCCTGATACCATACCACTGGCATTCTGAATTGTGGGAGAATACACTTCTGTTCTTTTATGCTCCTAAGTTTTGGGTAATTTGTTCTCACAATGCTAGGATACTCAGATCATTTGCTGAAGTAAGGAAACTAGGAGAAGAAGCAGGTCTTGTCAAATAACTATGAGTTGAGTTTAGAAGATTGTATAGAATTGTTTCCTTATTCTTCTTGTATGTTTCTTAAGGTAGTCTCTGAGTTGCTTCTTAACTCTGCAAATCTTTCATTACCAAAATAATTAGAAAATCGTCTTTTTGTTTTAGGGCCACACCTGGTTGTGCACAGGGCATAGTCCTGATTCTGTGCTCAGGGATAACCCCTAGAGGAGCTTAGGAAACTTCATATAAT